GGCTAATGTAGCCACGCCTACTATACAATTACCAACCAATAAGGTTGCATGCATAAGGACCAATCACGGACGTTCCCGCTCAGGGAGCTTGCTGACCAGTGATTGGTTAGGTGCTTCCTGGGCTAGCAATGTGATTGGATGGATTTGGATCCTAGCCCAGGACGAAGCTTTACATGGCAAGTCATTAATGTAGTTCACATATCGTGATGCATTCAATGGCAGCTATTGAATACATTACACACTGAATCTGGCCATATAAAACAAAGTAGTCTGAGTCCAGTGGCATCTGTAAGACCAAGAAACTTAATTCTGGGCATAAGCGTTTGTGTACCTGAAGAAGGGTGGGCGCACAGGAAAGCTGGTCTCCAGAATAAAACTCTGTTGCTCTCAAAGGGGCCACTCTGGACTCTGCCTTTGTCCTGTTGCTTCAGACCAACCACGGCTCTGCCCCACCTGGACCGATCTGACTACATCAGTAATCCTCTCTCTGCATTATCTTGCCTTTGGCCGTTTTCTCTCTCTGGCGGTCATTTCTCATTCTGCACTCCTAGTCCTGTTGTTCTGTTTCTTGGATGTCTTATGCCAGTGATGGGGAACCTTCTAGAGACCGAGTGCCCAAACTGCGACCCACAACCCACTTATTGATCGCAAAGTGCCAACACGGCAATTTAACCTGAATCCTGAGGTTTTACTTTAGAAAAAACAACTCATACATTCACTTAAGATGATCCAAACAAAGTAAGGAAAGCAATCCCAAAGGCTTTCATTGACTTAAAATTATTTGGCAGGGAATTCGACACTTTAATTATGGTCTGGGCCTGGCTGGGGCGATGGCACGCGTGCCCACAGAGAGGGCTCTGAGTGCCACCTCTGGCACCCGTGCCTTAAGAGACGCCAATGTTGGATCAGGCCAAAGGCCCATCCAGTCCAACACTCTGTGTCACACCGTGGCCAGAAATACCAGGTGCCATCAGGAGGTCCACCAGTGGGGCCAGGACATTAGAAGCCCTCCCACTGTTGACCCCCCCAAGCACCAAGATGACAGAGCATCACTTGCCCCAGAGCCCCTATCTAGCCACTGATGGACCTCTGCTCCATATGCTTATCTAATTCCCTTTTGAAGCCGGCCATGCTTGTAGCCGCCACCACTTCCTGTGGGCTCTGAGTGCCACCTCTGGCACCCGTGCCATAGGTACGCCACCACTGTCTTATGCTGCCTGGTTGCCTGTTTAGAAATACTTTGTAATCTGCCTTGAGTCTCAGTGGGAAAGCTGGGCAATAAATGGAGTCAATGCCAATGTTCCCTCTAAGCTGTGGAGTCCTGTGAGCAAAAATTCTACTTCGTGAGCTCCTGGCATGAAAGTTGTGAGCGAGCGATTTGGCTGCTGCATCAATTAGTTTGCTCTGGGGCCCTCCTTCCTGAGCTAAGACAAAAATGTATGAGCCGGAGGCTAAAAAACTGTGAGCTAGCTCACACTCACTCAGCTTAGAGGGAACACTGGTCAATGCCTTGTCCCCGGAGCCAGCTGGTCCGGTCCTGCTTCTGAGAAGGGGCCAGTCTTTGGCGCCCTGAGGGAGGCCTTGATCTCCCTTTGCCGCCTTGCCAGGGAGAAAGAAGGCTCCAGGGCTGACCAGGGCCGACCCCGTGCCGTTGGTGCTCCGCTCTGCCTGTTGGGAGCCCCGGGTGGGCCTGAGGGGGCACCTGGCGGCGGAGGAGTGACCTTTCCCCCTTCCTTCTTGGACAGGTGTTCCACTATGACCAACTGCAAGAGAAGAAGAGCTGGATCACGGCCCACCTGTTCTGCCAGGATCTGAAAGCACAGCTTCTCAGCCTGGGCAGCTACGAGGAGGAGCACTTTGTAGCCGACACGCTCAACAAGATCTTTGGGTGAGGAGTGAGATGTGTTTTTGCGCAACGCCCACATATGTATGTCAGTGTGCGCCTGTGCTTATGTGCACACATCCATGTGCCCTCTATGTGCCACCAGAGTGGAATATACCACGGTTCACTACTGGGTTCTAGACGCATTGCAGTGATCAGTTCTAGTTTATTCAGTGATTTCAGCAGAACAGAAGACCAAGCTAGCAGGGCCGGAGCCCTGCTTATAAGCATGCAAAACACCCCACCCCACACACAGCCACTCCCCGTGATCGGCTGTTTACATTACACTGCTTATCTATAGGTTGGTTTCTGGATCCAGGCGAGCTATTGTTCTGGAGAAGCAAGCTCAGCCCATTCTAGGTGCAGCAAGAGGAAAGGCTTAGGCTGAATACATAACAACCATAACAGCAACGAGCCCACATTAGCCCCCCCCCCCAAAATAGCGACCCTGAGCTGCGCCTGCATTGCAGCGGCCAGCCCCTGTGCAGCCCCCGTGCAGCCCTAGTTGGCTCCCTAAGGGCTGAGTCGTGCTGCAGCGGAGGGGGGGGGCTGTGTCCATGGTGATTCCACGGCAGTGTGGCCTCTTGCGGCGTCCTATTGCGGTGGGGTCGGCACAAGGGGAGGGGCACTTTGAGTCGACGGGGGTGTCCAGTCCCAGGGCAGATGACAGTTGGGGGTGGGAAGGGCAGGTCGGGAGAACCCCATTCTCCTCTCCCACCCTGCCGGTGACAGGCACGGGGTCGCCAACATTTGTTTGCCCTGAACGCCAGCATGTTCCATGGGCAAGCCCCCCCCCACACACAAATACTTGGAGTCCGCCTGCTGCAGGGGCTGCCTCTGCCACTGACTCAGGGAACCCCTGTGACCCAGTGGGCCCGTTCCCCCCCCCCCGGTGCTCCTTGCACAGATGCCTCCCCACCCCCCGGGTGCCAGAGGAACCCCCGTCCTGGATCAGACACAGAGTTAGGAGCTTCATCCATGCACTCATTCCATTACCGGACCCCCCTCCCCAGGTTGCATCATTACCCTCTTCTCCACTCCATGCTCACAACAACCCCGTGAGGTGGGTCAGGCTGAGATTGTGCGTCTGCGACCCACCTGGCTTCCATGGAACAAGTGGGGAAGGGAGCCCGGGACCTCCCCCTGGTCCAGCCCCGTGCAGTAGCCAGGGCTCATTCCCCCAGACGACTCCCTGGCCCCTCCCCCCTTCACACAGGAGCCTGCGAGGCGGGCCAGGGGGGGCGGCGGGGCAGGGAAGGGTGTGGAGCTCCGGCCCTGCAGCAGAAACCAAGCAGCAGAGACACGGCTGAGCCACACCACAGGCCTTCTTGCACTGGCATCTTTTCTTTATCCCACCCTCTGAGCGTGAAGCCAAGTTATAGTTCATGGTTAGAACATCAGATTTGCAGGTCAAGAACCTGCCTCTGAGTTTTGCAGGCAGAAGATCTCTGGGGCTGGACAGACTTCTGTCTGAGGTCTTGGGAGAGCTTTGGCCCATTGGAGTAAATGACCATGGCATAGATGGACAGGCAGGTTCTCTCCAGAACTTGAACCATCCAAAGGAGGGGGGAAAACCCACCAGAGATGCCAGCTAATTGAATGACGCGTTTAATAAGATTTGGATTGTACTACAATAGCTCATAATAGTGTAGACCCTTTTATTTTTTGAAAATCTGCTGGCATAATAGTACTTAACATATTCAACTCTCTCTGAAATATTTTATTGATACTCAAGTTTACCCTCCCCACCCTCATATCCTGAGCCAAATTGCGGAAGGCCTAGATGTCCAGGGGAAGGAAAAGGAAAACCCTGAGATCTTGGCAGAGAGCATGTGAGAGAAAAAGAGAGAGAAAGCATCTAGAAGCTTCTCTGGTGGAAGGCCTAGATGTCCAGGGGAAGGAAAATGAAAACCCTGAGATCTTGGCTGAGAGCATGTGAGAGAAAAAAAGAGAGAAAGCATCTAGAAGCTTCTCTGGCTTGGTGGGCCATGGCTGGAGCCCCAGAAT